TCATATTACTCGAAATGCATTATGACTTTTTTAGAATTGACCATAACAGGAGACTTTGACCAGTCCACTACATCATAAACAAACGTTTCAATCGTGTAAATGTGGGATTGGGAGTTCTATTCTTAAATAATCAATCATTAGGGCCGAATATTGAATTACACTCTAATATATCAGAGAGAAGAAAAAGTGAAATTATTTTGGATAACACAATATACTTACAATTAACGCATAATACAGTGAAATATGAGTTTACTCTGCAACCGCCATCATGTAGAAATGATTCACAGTGATAGACTGCGGAGTTATGTTTTGCAACAAGATTGATTTGAAGTTTTTCTTCATATGTAACACCGTTAAAATTTCCTTTTGAACGTTTAACGCTGACAACTCTCTCATGCCGACTGTCTTCTAATAAAGTACCATTACGGAACCACTCAATTGTTGAGACTGGATTGCTGGTCCCTGTTAAGCATGTCAAGTGTAACATCTCTCCTGCGTATAACACTTTTACTGGATCGGTAATAGTGACGTATTTAGCACTGACTGCAAACATTCACAAATAAAATGTCGGAAATCAGTATGCATTGTTAAATATGAATACGTATTCTGCAGAGAAAATCACGAAAACAAGGTTGACTAATCTATTACATCAATTAAGTCATCCTAAAATCCATTTCTGAAGCTATTAAATAAAATATCAAATAGATTTTACGAGACATTTATTCGCAACTACTAATAAACTTCTAAACTTTTTAAACAATAGGAACTGTGAAATATTTCTATTTATTGACTTACACGTAACGTTTAGAATCCACTATCACATGTTAGAGGTTCGACTTGAACCGTATTTGTTGCTTCACATATGTACATAGCACCATTATCAGCTCGACTTAAATTCCATGAATACACTGCAGTACTTATGGTGTCATTTGGTGCGGGTGTAGTCTCAATCAGAACTGCTTCGTTATCAGAATCATTGATCCACCGTAGGTTTGCGAGAGGATTACCGTCAATTGACTCGCAATAAATATAAATATCATTACCTTCTGCAAGCGAATTTGGCTCAACAGATGTTCTGCATGTCGGACTATCTGGTGGATCTGAATAAAGAGTGCGTTTTCAATCTGTAACTGTTCATAATTGATATAAACAACTACAGTAAAACACTTTCAATGAGAGTGCTGTCATTAGCATTTCATGGTCAAATACACCAGGTGTCATTTTATTTTACTACAAAATATAATAGTGGTCGAAACTCTGTTTTCACCTCCAATATTATAAATAAATTAATAAATAAATAATAATTATTTAATCTATTAATTAATTATTTAATTAGTCCTTGCACAGCAACAAACTCTCTTTTAATTAATTAAGGGATTAATTGATTAATTAATTAATAAAAAAACTCACATTGAACATTAAGTGGATCAGTAAAACACGTATATGTTTTAGCTGATGCCACGTGTTGACCGTCGCAGTGATATACTCTGTCGTTATCTGTTTTATCTAAATGCCAGCTACAGTTGGTAACAGTTACATCAGCAGTTTTTCCAGTGTTACATTGCCCTTGGTGTATATACGTGTCGTTAAACCACTCTAAAGTAGGCGCTGGAAAACCGCCATGTGCACTGCAACTGATTGTTAGATAATCTCCAGCTTTTAAGTTGTTGTTATTAACCGCGTCTGGTGAATGGCAGTGTGGCCATGGATAGTCTGGAAGATCTATTTATAAGAGATAATGAGTTTTCATTTAGCAAAAAATAACAACTAAACTTTAGTGTTGTAACACAACAATTTCAAAATTTCAAATCTAAACATACATTGAAAAAAAAATAATTCCCTGTCCAGCTTCACCAAACTAAATGATTTAGGTAAACTACTGAGATAAAAAAATAATAAATTATTTAATGAAAATAAAATAAATACATACTCACATAATACGACTAAACTGGATTTGTCACTTGTATCACTGCCTGCAATGTTTGTTGCTGTGCAAGAATATTCCCCCGTATCGTTTCTTAAAACTGGTTTAATTATCACTTGAGATGTAGATTCTTCTTCGTGATATCGTGGGTTCTGCAGATCCATAATGACACCGTCTTTTAACCAATCATATGTCACTCCGTACGGATTAGATGTATTGCAGTGAAGATATGATGAAGTAAGCAGATTGCCAGTGCTTTCAATTACAGGAGAATCAACCTGTATTGAAGTAGAGTGAGGTATATCTAAGAGAATAAAAGTAATAATTACATTCACGATTATACTTCCATGCAATCAAGTTGGGATATTCAAACTACCACTTAATTAAATATTGTTTCCACTGTCCCACATTCATAGCCTTCAGCCATTTGAGGTGTAGTTTTGTTTAATTCCAGTCCCTATATATTATGTAGAAGAACTGAATAAACTGTGTAAACTTAGCAAGTTTTTCGGGTACAGAGGCTGACTTAATTGGGCATACTGTTTAACAAGTATATTCAGGAAAACACTTTCAATCATCAGTATAAATATAAATAGTTAAGAGATTCAGTATTGTATACTAAAACGAGTGAAACTTGTATGTTTGCCATTGTTTGAGGTAAATATCATGTACAATAATAAATAATGTCATCTACAAATCAGCATCTCACATATTACAAGCTATTGTTTATAACTTTTGTTGCTCAGTGGGATAACTCAAGGTCGTTTGAATAGGAAGTATGCTCCGCAGCAATACACTTATTTCGTAATACATATCTTAGATATAAAACTAAAAGTCAATTACCTATGACATGCAATTCGAGAGAATCCTCCACAGCGTTAAATATTACTCCTAATATTCTACACCAATACAAATCACTGTCACTGGAAATAGTGTCATTTATCTCAAGTGTTGTATTCCCAACAATTCGATGGCGGTCATATCCATCTTCAATGCTATAGCCATGCCTAATATGTATTGTAGCAATACAGTCACTATCCTCGTACTGTGGTCCACCTTTACTCCAAACAAATTTCATCTCAGGGTCATCATACTTTGTGAAATTGCAGTTCAAATATGCTGTATCACCAATTCCCACATCAACGTCTTGTCCTACTATGTGGGCTGTAAAAATACAGGAATATAATAAAGATTATATTTTCCGATCCAACCGTGATAAAATAATCATATGAATCAAAAGCGAACCTTATGAGAGATATTTTTTTCAAAATAAAGATATTTATTTGGAAAGGTGATTTAACATTAGTGCAAAACAAATCATTGTCAATGTCAATGTTGTTGAAAACGTACAGGATCCAGTAACATTTCGCACGAGAATTAACAACAAAAATAAAATCGATCTTGCTAATAGCAAAACAACTTATTTGAATATGAATAATTTATGCTGTGATCATCGGGCCGTGTCCTGTTCGATATGAAACTGATGAAATACATTGTTTGTTTACATGGAATTTGGTCACACACTGGCCACGACAACTGCACTTGAAATATATCATCTGTGTTTGTCCGATTGGTTGATGAATAGTGTAGGGTATGTACAACTTTCAATGACTAATCCAGTGCTTTCCACATAGGCAAGGTCATCACATCTCATGTGTGTTTCAATGCATATACGGCCCGTCGGTATTTACTGTTGTAGAAAAGTATAGTCCATGTGTCGATTGAAACAAACATCATCCAGCAATTTACTGTTGTTATATCCGCTTTAATTAACACATTTGAGTTGCCCCAGTAATTCGGTAATGTAGGTTTCAGATTAGCCCACACGTCATAATTATGGTACTATACGATACTGCTCAATTGTTTTAATCATGCATTGATGAATATGATGTTAATTATAATTTGTCCAGGAAATTCTCTTGACAGTAGAACACTGATGCTCA